TTTCGTTTGTAACTTTTTAAATATTTACATAACAAGACATTTAAGTGTTTTATGTTTCTTATTACCTATTTCTTTTATTTTTTTTTTGCTTTTTATATTTTAAAAAGTTTATTTTATATTAGGGCTTGATTTATTTTCGCAATAGCTTACTAATATACTAAAGCGAAACTTGCGATTTCATTTAATTTCATCTTTGTGACGCATATACAGGGTGGTCCAGATTTTAATAGACAAACTTCGGGAAACTACTAAACAACAAAAATTAACATCACTTTGCTCTATGAACATAGGCGCAGAAAGCCACCGATTATGAGATACAGGGCGTTGAAATGAACAAAAATAAAACATTTTTTTTTAAATATCTGGAAAACGGCTTTTATCAAATTTATCCAAATTTGGTGCACATTTTTTTTTCAAATATTTCCCCTAGTTTTGTATGCACATAGTTCAAATTCAAAGACCAGTGGCGGAGAAACAAGGATGTCCTTTTCTTATTTAAAGTAAAACTTCTACGCCACTGAATTAATTGGTAATATGAATACATTTTATAATGGTCTGAAACATTCCGGATGAAAAAACATTATTTTATTTTCATCGAAAAGTGAATGGTTTACGAGTTGAGACATATTATTCAAGTAAACAAAGCATGAAATCGGGAAAAATAAAACAAATTTGGGTGGTCCAGGTTTTAATAGACAAACTTCGGTAAAGTTTTAAATAACAAAAATTAACATCACTTTGCTCTATGAACATAGGCGCAGAAAGCTACCGTTTATAAGATACAGGGCGTTGAAATTAATAAAAATAAAATATTTTTTTTAAATATCTGGAAAACCGCATCATAATATGTCTCATAACTCGTAAACCATTCACTTTTCGACAAAAATAAAAGAGTGTTTTTTCATCCGGAATGTTTCAGACCGTTGTAAAATGTATTCATATTACCAATTAATTCAGTGGCGTAGAAGTTTTACTCTAAATAAGGAAACAATGTCCTTGTTTCTCCGCCACTGGTTTTTGAATTTGGACTGTGTGCGTACAGAACTAGGAGAAATATTCGAAAAAAAATGTGTACCAAATTTGGATAAATTTGATCAAGCGGTTTTCCAGATATTTTAAAAAATTGTTTTATTTTTGATAATTTCAACGCCCTGTATCTCTTTCTGCGCCTATGTTCATAGAGCAAAGTGATGTTAATTTTTGTTGTTTAGTACTTTCCCGAAGTTTGTCTATTAAAATCTGGACCACCCTGTACAGTGACTTGGCTTTTGTTGTGCTTATCAAGCTCAGATATTCGAAGGCATTAAATATGATAAAATTGCGAAGTATGATGATGATTAAAGTACAATGAAAGATAATTCAAATATCGTTCATATATTCAAGGTCTCACAAATATATGTCTATATTAAGTTTTCTCGGTTGCTGCTTTTTAAATAATTGCCAAACAAAACAGTGTTCTGAAAATTTTTTTTTTGTATTGTCACTATTTTACGAATTCAATATGTTTTGGCATGAATTAAATTATGTAGTTATAAATGAATTTACGAATAATTATAAAATTAATTTTATTTAGGTAATTGTTAATTGCAAAAAAATCGCGTTTTACACGTATGCCGAGCAGACTAAACGGTACTTTAGCAACAATTAATCGGAAAACGGTCGGCATATGGGCAGAGTAGAACCGAAGGATAGGGTGACGCCCTTAAAAGTGTAAATAAATATTGCATTTGTAAATGATAGTTACACGTATGCATACTCGAAATTCAATGATTTTTGGCATAAAGCGCACAATTTCCAAAGGGCATACGGTTCCCGAAGGTCTAATTTAATTTCATATCTGTATGACTGTATTAATTGCACAGGTATGACAATGATTGTTATATATACGTATACCCTTTTAATATATCATCCGTTACGATGAGATTCATTGTAAATATCATTGGCCTACAGTTTGGAAGGGATCTACCTGGAGTACCTGGTGACATAATCGAAAAAAGAGTGCAAATTTTTTGGTCATATTCCAACGATAGTGCCATGTATGCCATTGTTATTTTTGTTAAATATTGGCCTAATTATGCGTTTGACAAACGGCATACGAATCGATTGGAACAAAATTAATTTTATCTGATAAAACAACCGCGCGAATTACCAAGCGTATTGCAACCAACAGTACACGCATTGCTCTAGTCGCTGAAACACGATGTCTTTAAATCAAACGCGACTGTACTGCGATTGTATTATACAGGGTGGTCCCGATGTAATGGGCCAAAATTCATGGATAGATTCCCGAAGCAATAATATTGCGATTTAGCCGAACTAACCTTAGTCCAAAAGTTGATAGTTAAAGAGATACAGGGTGTTAAATATAAAATATTATTTTAGTTTATTTCCATTTATTTCTTAATAAATGCAAATATCTACACAAAATTTTGGGGTTTGGGGTTCTTTGGATAGAGGAATTGAAATTTGTTCACATTTTGGTTATAGTTCATAGAGGGCGCCAACTGCCGTAGATTGAAGGTGTTGGAAACGACATAACTTTTTTGTACTTAAAGTTTAGTTACTCTTATGTGATGAAATGTAACATACAAGTTGTATATTAGGCACTCGCAGTTTGCACGCAAGTTGTATGTTAGGCACTCGCAGTTCGCACGCAGGTTGTATGATACAACTGCGTGCGAACTGCGAGCGCTGAGGTGGTAGAGAAGAAGTGCTATATTGAAGAATTGGCTTATTAAAAGAGATGGAAGGTGGCAACAAGCCTCCGTGTCGACTGCTGAAGCTCGAATCTAGATAATCGTACCATCATTCAAGGCCACGCAATCACGCATCCTATAGAGCTCTAGTAAAAGACTTGGAAGCTTGAGGAAGTTAGCTGCCAGCGACTATAATGCGAATTCGGAGGGCGCGAAAAATAGTGAACATTTAAAAGGGTATATTTACGTACTCGAGATCTCCCTTAGTAGGTACATAATTAGTTGCATATGAAAATAGATTTGTAAGGAAATTTCTTAAATAATATTAATTATATGATGTAAAATAAAAAAAACTAAAAGAAAACTTTTGCAATACTATCAAAAACTTCAGAGGAGGCTTAGCCTACCCAGCCTCCTCGAACGAACCGCCACTGACAAGCATGTATGTATAATTATTGATTTTTTCTTTTTATTCAATGTAAATGTGCATCATCTCATTTAAGGGGGGTGGAGGGGGAAAGGAGGGTGAGGGTGTTGGTCCATTTAGGGTGGAAATGATTCAATATTGCTAGTAGGTACTAAAAAAATTTTTTCAGCCAAAAATAAATTAAGCCAAAAACCGGTCTCAGGGGCCCTCCTCCTTTGGTATTTCTAAGTTCAAGTATAACCGAGATATTGATTTTTTTTCAAAATTTGAAACCCCACTTTCAAGGCCTATAACTTCTCAGGAGTGCAGCTTAGTGTGAAGGTAAGTTGCTTTAAATCACCCAGTGTCTACTAAATTTTTTTTTTCGGATTTAAGGAGTTTTCAAGGTGTTCAAGGGTTGATTTTAATTCATTTTCAAGGAGGTAATTTTTTCTAGGGTAAACACTTTTTGTAAAAGCTAATCGACGTTAATTTACTCGAAATTTTTCATTTTCTTTACTCAAAATACAGTTATTAACTTGAAGATGAAGGTGCGCTCCGCGTTCACGACAGATAAAAAAATTAGACATCTAACTGACCATCTCTCTGATTCTCTTTAAAAATTTAAACGCATACGAGCGATTATTAAGTATCGCAATAAGATAGAATAAGATTGAAAAGATAAAATATATTACTGAAAAATTGACAATTTAAACGTGATGATATGGGATATCTAAGTAAAATTGATCATCATCATAATTTTTACACTTACAGCATACATTAAAATTATATTATATTGAAGGAATTTAATTATATTTATTAAACAAAAATAACAATACAATATCTGAAATAAAAATTTTATTACAATAATCGTTACAAAATTATATTAAATTGGTTTTGAGAACTATAAAAATTAAACAAAATTAAAATATTTAAGTAATTTCTAAAATATGAATCATTTTTTTAATTGTTTATCTAACTCTTTAATTTTTTGGTCATATTGTACTACATATTTCTGATTTTCACTTATTATCATTTCTAATTCTTTTTTTCTCAATTTTAAATCTGCTGCTTCTTCAACCAATTTTCTTTTTTTTCTCTTCACTTTCATTTTCTCTTTTGCCTTATAAAGCTTGTTTTCGATTTGTAGAAGAGGATTTAAAAGCGGCAATCGTTGGTTCAGTTATTTTATCATCATCGTTATTATTAACAATAATAAAATCATGTACAGATCTTTGAGATATAAGACTTTGTTCTTGTAGATTCTCAACTAGGAATTCTTTGTTGAAAGAAAAACTTCGTGAAAAAATACTAATATTTGTTTTACAAATTCGACAAAATTCGCAGATATTTTTTGCTCAGCACACAGTTTCATAAAAAATTCATCTAGCTGATGTTTTTTCTCATCAAACTTTAATAGTTCTTTTTTTACAGCGTCATTTTTCATTAAAAATTGTAATTAAATAATTGCGAAAAAATTTTTCAAGGATCATTAGTTCGATTCAAGGAGATTTCAAGTATTTCAAGTAGATTAAATCCATTCAAGGAGTTTTCAAGCTTTTCAAGGGATTTAAGGAGCAGTAGACACTCTGATCACCATATTTAGGGTTCGCCTACATGCTCCTGCTCTTTGTCGGTTCTTATTTTTACAACGAAAAATCGTGTTTTGCGTTTTTCGCACTTTTCGTTTAGGATATCCTTAAAATCTGCTGTGATGGAGCAATCCTAGTGGGATTCTGATTCTGCATCGAAAAGTTTTGGAAAATATACTCTCATTCCTGGTCAGTCACATTTTGTATTATAATAACTATAAGAAAATCTTACCTTGTCAGTAAATAAATGAATTTTTTTTATTTGTTAGACGAGGAAAGGAGAGGAGTAAATAAATACGACATTGATGAACAATATAAAGTTTATATATATTTGTATATAAATTTACATGGAATCTGTTAAGAAATTTAACGCTTACTCAGTTACTCAACAAATTAACTTTCGTATTTACAAATCAAACTGGTAAAAATACTGATCTCTTTCAGGTTGAAGTACTATTTATGTTACGATATACAAAATATATCTATAAATTAAAAATGGTAACAGCTATAAGGATCACATTTTGTATAAGTATCACTTTCGTAAGGCAAAAGTTGAACGATAAAATCTATTAAGTACAAAAATATAAAAAGGATGTACTTGGTATAAATATATAATCTGCACGTATTGGCAATATCCGAAATTAAAATCCACTTAGTTAAACGTTTTGTTCCAAATTTCATAATATCGTTTGAAACGAGATCCAAAGCATTCATAAAGATCAACCTGATTATTTCGGAATACATTTTTATATAAATTAAACTAACCCGGCATCCTTGCACATTCCGTAGAATATCGTTTCTGGATTTTCCAGCAGATTGGCCGGCGTGTCGAACTCCACGATTTCGCCTTTATCCAACACTATGACCCTATCCGAGTCCATGATCGTGTTCAACCTGTGGGCTATGGTAAGAACCGTGCTATTTTTGAATTCCGTCCTGATCGTTGTCTGAATCAGATCGTCGGTTTCTAAATCGACGGCGGCCGTGGCTTCGTCCAGGACCAACACTTTAGTTTTCCTGAGGAGGGCCCTGGCCAAGCAGATGAGCTGCCTCTGGCCTACCGAGAGATTGTCTCCTCCCTCGGACATGTGTTGACTAAGACCGGCGGGAAGGCCTAAAGAAATAGGAGTATATTCAAGTGCAGCAATTATTACGTACGGGGTATTCCAGTATTCCATTATTCTCGGGTCGCGAGAAGACGACTGCTTCGCTTAGCCGCTAGAGGGTACAGTCAAAGTAATAAAAAGTTTTACAACCTTTTCGACTTGATTGCACTCGGTGCGCACTGAGAGAGTATCTTGAGTGCAGCAAACGTGCAAATCAGTAAAAAAAAAAAATTTTTTAATAACCCTTTGTTCGATTTAAATGTAATTTGGTATGCTTGTACTTGTATGAAGATATCACATTTTCACATCGTAACAGAAGTACAGAAATGGCGGACCGAATATGGAGGCCAGAAGCTGGAGGAAACCTGAGTGTACTGCAAAAAAGGATTGTGAAAAAAAAAAATTCGCCACCAATCGGGTCAGTTTTTAGCTCAAATTTCGGAAAATCAACAGATTTCCACCAAATCTGGTATATGAAGGTTTTCGGAGGTTGTTAAAAAAATGACAAATCCAGTATGGTGGATAAAATCTTATATTTTGCAAATCCAATCGAAGATACATGATCAGCGACCCCAAAAATCCCCATATACCAAATTTGGTGGTAATCGTTCGATTTTCTGAAATTTTGTCCGCCATCTTGAATTTTGCAAATTTGACCTTGGATTCGTAATCAGCGACCTCAAAAACTCCCGTATACCAAGTTTGGTGTAAATCGGTTGATTTTCAAAAATTCAGTCACCAAATCGGTTTTTCGACCGCCATGTTGGATCCGCCATTTTGGATTTTTTCATCCAACCTACACCAGCTTTTAAGAGGTGTCCCTCAGCTACAATTTAAGCTAAAAAAATGACCCGATTGGTTGCGAATTTTTTTTTACAACCCTTTTTTGCCGTACACTCAGGTTTTCTCCAGCTTCCAGCCGCCATATTAGGTCCGCCATTTTGGATTTTTGAAAAGTACCACTCTGCGTTTGAAAGCCTCTTACTAGACAAACATTTTGAGCCCTTACACGTCTCAATCATTCCACGCAATTTTTGTCCAGGTCGATGATCCGCTTGACGTGAAACATCCCATATAAATTTTTTTATAAGCGACTAATCACAAATCTTTCGTTTTTCTAAAGGATTTTTTTAGTCATCGCTGCAATTTCGATACAGATCTAATTTGACGCCCTCTAATGGATAAACAAAACATCAAAACAACATTTACTAGAAGAGAGAATATTGAAACACCCTGTATAAAAAACATTAGCAATGAAATATCTATTTAAATTTTTCAAACGTTACAATTTGCCATGAGTATTAAAAAAAAATCCACGCTAGAAATAAAAGTGTGTGTGTGTGTGTGTGTGTACTTACTCTTCACAAAACCTTTCAGATGGGCCTGCTCCAGGGCCCGCCATACCTCCTCGTCCGAGTGCTTGTCGAAAGGATCCAAATTCATGCGGAGAGTTCCAGAAAACAACACAGAGTCTTGGGGAATGATCGTCAAACGGGACCTTAAGGTGTGCAACCCTAATTCCGCGATATTGACACCATCGATGCAGATTTGTCCTTGAGCGGCCTCGATAATCCTAAAAGTTATAAAAATTACATTTACGGCTTTTGATTAAAAAAACTTGTAGTCAATTATGAATATCTTCATTATTTTGCAACTTCCAATGGGAGATTTTTGGTAAACTTAAATATTTTCACGAGCTATGAAAAACATCTCGAGGGCTTAAATTACATAAACGACATACACAAACTAGTAAACCAAATCCATGTCTCCAAACTAATGACAACTAAATTTACCTGAATAATGACAAGGTCAAACTAGATTTCCCTGCACCGGTCCTCCCTACAATGCCGACCTTTTCCCCACCCTTAATATGGAAATCGACGCCTTTTAGAACCAGCTCCAAACCGGGCCGATATCTTACGGCGTACTTCTTAAATTCAATTGATCCTTGCTCTGGCCAAACTGCTGATACATTTTTGTTGGGTAATTCCCAAGGTGCTTCTTGTGTAGTTTCGCCGTACTCCTTGATACGTTCCACTGCCACTATATTAGTCTCCACGTCGGACGTCATTCTTACCAACATGTTGAGAGTTTGCGTGATCTATAAAAGTTTTGATAATATTGAAATGTGAACTGAGAAATCACAAGATTATTACTTATAATTTAGTTAGTAACTAAAGCTATTTCTTTCTAAATACCCAGAGGTTCAAAAATTCTGAAACGTCACCATTAACATGTGTAACGCCACATTTATTAATTTTATTACAACTTTTCTGTTATTAAAAATGACTATAGATCTTGTATTTTTAACAGTTTATGTTTATACATATGTTATAAATAGAATAGTCAAACTTGGGATGGAAAACAGTTTCGAGAACGGCCAATAGATTTCGATATTTTCAGTCTTTATTAAGATTTTTTGGATTAAATTTTTGAGAAAAACTGGACTACATCTTCATTCATTTAATTAATTTATGGTGATTTATTGTAGTGTGATACATTTTAATTATAACTGGAAAACTCAAAACTTGAGTTTGGGACATTTGAACTACTTTTTGACCGTCTCCTCCGAAAATAAAAGAAGAAGATTCCTTATTCCCGCCAATTTCAAATATGTGAGAAGACATATTTTGCCGTTTCACAACTACTGGTAACGCAATGTCTCAAAATTTATTTTTTAAGTTTTTCCGATTTAAAACTTGCCAAAATAAAAATCAAAAAACATATTGGGTCATATCTGAATCTTTGCCGAAAAATTTACAATTACAGTTATGAATAAATTAGTAAAAATTTAATAAAACAGCTATAATAATTTTATTTGCTTCAAACTTTTTCTATCACAATGACATAATAAATAACCATTCAATGCTTTAAAAACTGTAAGTTTTGAAGATATACTAAGCAGAGTACATAATAGGATACAGTATTGGACTAATTTTACTTCTGGGAGATTTTCCACATTTCCCAAAGAAAGACATGTATTTCTGATTTCTTGGGGTCCGTTTTTGAAAAACGGTTATAACTATGTTTTGATTTGTTTAATTAATTTTGCCTAATGTCACACGTTTGAGTTATAAATAAAAGAGAGACAACTAAAGTTGAAAACAGTTTGATTAAGACTGGGACATTTGAACTACCTTGTCCGTCTCATCAGAGAATACATGTAAAATCACAAAATGAGACTTTCCTTTATTATAATGAACTATGTTAAGGGTAAGATCGATTAATGTAAAAGCTCAAGACCCCTTTCCATATGTTACATAGACCAAATTTCTGTCATAACAAATTTTAGATACAATTAAATAATATTTACCTGTAACGCGTACGAAATGCTTAGACCAACCAACGCAGGATCCTGTTCCCTTCCTATAACGGCGAACAAGGACGCAAACAGTATAATCAAGTTACCAATCATTTCCAGCCTTATGGTCAACCATCTGTTTGAAATGGCACCCGGATAGTAACAGATCTGATTCAGGTCCACTTTTTTCTCTGATTCGCTAATAAATCTCTCTTCTTGCCCATAAGCTCTGATTGCTTGTACTCCCGTTACGGTTTCGCCGAAATGCGAATATATGGGGGAACGTGATATGGATTCTAATCGTTTCAGTTGACGGGAAGTTGCGACATAAAATCTCTGAATGAAGTAATACAGCAGCGCGATGGGTACGATTACGATCAAAAACAAAACGGTGGTGTAACTTATAACCGCCATAGTCCCTATAACCTAAAACATACATTGTTAGTATATTGCTTTTTTTATAGGAGACACTATAAAGCTTTCAACTAAATTTGACAACACATACAAAAAAAATACCTAATAATGTGAAAGATTTTTGGTTAGACAAAACTATTCTCACAAAAAATAACCCTACACGGATTCCTTTGTCGTAATAAAGAAAAGCGACAGTACATAGACACCAACTATAAAAGCCACTATACAAAAATCCACAAAAGAGACGTTTCCTGAACTATGCCTAAATGTCATATGTGTCAAGGCATTTTTTTGTGTATAATACAGTTAGACAATGAAAATACTAGTTGTAACTCTCCAATAAAATCTCTGTCACCCTTGTTGAAGGTATAAGGATGACAGGAGTTTTTTGAGAGTCGCCATCTACAGTTTACATTTCTAAGTTTGACTGATTGTATAACAATTCATGGAGTTTTTGAATTACAAATAAATATTCAAAATAAATTGTAATTTATTAACACTATAGTATTTTTTCTGTTTTCAACAAAGTATTTCAAGAATACCATAGAGTAAAAGAAAAACATAAATGGCCCAAACGGAGAAATTTAGCAGGTTAAACGATACATATACATAGATTATATGTATAATGTATTTATGATACGAATGTGATTTTATGAACCGTAACCATCCCCAAAGAATAAACGATGCTAACAATGGTGATTTGATGATGTAAATGACTTAACACAAAACAGATCGATAACAAATACCTCTTCCCCCTCAACTCAACAATAATAAAAATAAATAAATAAAAACCTACCTTTATGGTGGTTTGTATCATAACTTGCAAATTCATGGGTAATATTATATCCACGCCGTTTATATCATTTGAAAACCTGGCCAATATACGTCCCATTGGAGTGACGTCAAAAAATGCTGATGGTAATCTCAAAACGTTACTCAACAAAAATCTGTGAATTTTGATTGCTCCGTCCAAGGTAGCTTTAGTGAATAATAAATTGGCACCTACTATGCAGATTACTGGAAACAAAATATTTACCATGTGACTGGAGTAAAATTTCTGAGAAATGAAGAAAATGTCAAAGCAAAAAATTCAGAAATAAAAATGTATAAAACTCATTTTTAAATATAACTGCTGATAAATTCAAATTTATCTTACAATGAATGAACTCTATCACTTCGTAACAATTAAACGGAAACTCGACTTCGATATCGGACAAATACATAGAAAATCGACTCAACTCGTACCAACTGGAATAATTTCCCAAAAATACTGACATTTATTAGAAGAACTTTGTGAATTTCATTCGCTGCATTCAACGATGAAATAGTTAAATTCATTTCCACAGAATACACAGAAATCGCTACAAATGTTAGTGGCTGGTGTCAACAACATTTACAAAAATCCCAGTGCAAGCCAAGCAAAAACACACAAAACATCCAAACAAAACAAAAAAAAATCTACTGAAAAAACATAAGAAAGAAAATAGTTTAACAAGAATTACAAATATTTTTTTTTACATACATATAGAAACAATTCAATGCTATTCAATAGTGATAACAAAATTTTTCAGTTCCTGCATCATAAAATAACAGAACATAAACAATAGTTCTTTTAAAAATTAAAAGTTTTTTCACTGCTTTCACATATTTTAGATATTCGGTTTTTAAAAACGGACTGATTTTCAAAACGTCAACAATTTTTTGAAGTGTGCTTTTTTCATTGTGAGATCTTCAGTTAAGCAAAAGTATTTTCATAAAAAATAGTTAATATATCAACTGACATGAAAGCATTCTTATGCCTTATTAATTGTTAATATAACTGCCTTGAGAAAGTTATCTAACCGCATAGAAACAAGCGATTCAACCTCGCAATGTCATCGGTAAAATGGTATCCAAAAAGTTAATATTTTTGAAAATCTGTGTAAGATCCATCTTACCGTTGTAACATCGTAAAATGCTGTGAACGGCACTCGCATTACACTCAATACTACATTGTGCAGCTGCTTCAATGATGCTATGAAAAGTGCGAGTGTCGCCAGAAACATTGTATCACAAAAATGTTAAAAAAAGCAAAATATGTTAAAACACAAATGGTGTAAAGCAAAGCCAAATAAAAGCAATAAAGCAAAGAAGTGGAAGGCTTAGGCGCAAGTTCATTTCTTGTAAAGCTGTTCTAAATCCTGTCATTAGGTGGTTAAAGCACGTTATTATTAAAAGCTGTAGATACAAAATAAATTATCGTATAAAAATTAGCAAACGTTGTCAGTTATTTAAACTAACTTGTAACCCAAGATATTAATGCTAAAAAATGTATACAATCTTTATTAGAAACATAGTTTTTATTAATAATTTGATTAATTAAATTATTAAACTTCATGTATACAGTGAGCGGCAAAAGTATGGAATATACTTATTAGGGTGGGTCAAAAAAAATTGACAATTCTTTTTTTACTTTATACTCTGAAAAATAGGTTGCTAGACATCTCTAGAAAATTCTCTCCAAATATGAGCTCTTAATTTTAATAGGAAGGTCCTCCGCTTTACAGTTGTCCATTTTTTCCTCAGTATTAGAAAAAAAAAATAATATCTCTATCAACTGTTAGTTAAAAATATCTCTGCTCATATACTTGTAGGAAATTGAACGCTCTACAAAAAAGGTCTCTTACAATTTTTTCGTAAACCTCACCTTTTAAAAGATATTAAAGGTTGAAGTTTGATTATTTTAAGAAAAATTTCTGTTTTGCTTATGAATTTTATAACTCGTTAACAAAAAATCATTATGAAATGCGCAATTCATGGTGTTGTAGGAAATTAACTGCTCTACAAAAATGGTCTCTTATGATTAGTCATTAAATAAAGCGTTAAAAAGATATTCATCGTCAAACTTCAATGCACGCCAATTTTAACAGTTTTTGATTAATAATTCGGAAAATTTCAATTTAGTTTAATTTCAGGGAAATTTATACAAATTTGAGTTTCTAGTGAAGCTCCTAATGCAGTCAAACAAATTCTTCGCTATCATACTCAATGGTTAAAATTACAAAAAAGTTAAAAAAAAAATCAGCCAAAACCAAAATGTTTGAAATTTTATAACTCGCTTGATAATTAAATAAAAAAACTTTTTAATAACAAATTGAACATTTTTTTTTCTTTAAGATTAATACTTTTCATAATAAATTTCTAACAAAAACGTTATTTTTTCAAAAACTAAATTGAAATTTTTCGAATTATTATTAATCAAAAACTGTTAAAATTGGCATGCATTGAAGTTTGACGATGAATATCTTTAAACGCTTTATTTAATCGACTAATCATAAGAGACCATTTTTGTAGAGCAGTTAATTTCCTATAAAACTATGAATTGCGCATTTCATAATGATTTTTTGTTAACGAGTTATAACATTCATAAGCAAAACAGAAATTTGTCTTAAAATAATCAAACTTCAACCTTTAATATCTTTTAAACGGTGAAGTTTACGAAAACATTGTAAGCGACATTTTTTGTAGGGCATTCAATTTCCTACAAGTATATGAGGAGAGATATTTTTAACGAACAGTTGATAGAGAGATATCGAATTTTTTTTTCTAATACTGAGGAAAAAATGGAAAACTGTAAAGCGGAGGACCTTCCTATTAAGATTAAGAGCTCATATTTGGAGAGAATTTTCTAGAGGTGTCTAGCAACCTATTTTTTAGAGTATAAAGTAAAAAAAAATAGTCGAATTTTTTTGACCCATCCTAATACTTTTTTAAAAATCAGATTGGTGATTCATTTTGATCATTAGGACGCAATGACTTGAATGTAAAAAATATAAGTGAGGTATTTAGGTATAATTTAATTGAACACGCATAATTTTATTTTATAAAATACGATTTTGTTAAATGTCACTATTTAAATTACGAGCCATTTTATTTTGCAAATTTTTAGCACCGAACCACTTATTTCTTATGGATTTTTCTGATTTGAAGCAACTTTCTGTGAATCACACAAATCTACGATGGAAAAGTAAATGTGGTTTTATTTTAAAACCAGCAGGGTCAACCATCTCAGGGTCATTTTTGAAAATTTTCCATATTCTATATTTAGACGTCATTATCTCGAAAACAATTAAAGAGAGGTATAGGTTATGTTACATAAAAAATGATCAGAATTCCATGGAGAATTGAATAAAAATACAAAAAAGTGGGGTTTCCATTTAAAAACGTTGGCCTTGATTTCATAACTTTTTTTGGACCACCCTGTATAAATGAAAATTACTTCAGAAAATGCGAAACTAAAAATATAATTCAACGGGTCCGAGCAATTTTTCAAGTAACGAACACATGATTTTTAAATAAATATATTCCATACTTTTGCCACTCACGGGATATATCTAAAAATTAAGAAATTTATTTTATTTATTGCATTCATATGTCGATTTGTTATGTAACATTATTTTTTTTTGGAATGTACCCTTGAAGAGATATTGACCTCTAAAGATGAGTGTTAAATTTTGAAAAACAACATTAATTCAGCAACCAAATTTGGTGCGTGATTTCCGTTTATTATTATCTTTAATTGGAAAAAATATTAATTTGTTGGAAGCCCAATAAGGGGGTAAATAACCAAAGGAGACATAGAAAGGTATATATCTACCTATACTCAATTATAATACATTAAATAATAGTTGCGTAACGACAATATGCACAGAAGAAAATTTTTCAATCATCCTGTGGGCATGCATACTAAGAAACAAAAAACCGAATGTCTACTCACTAAAAAAAAAGTATTATTTATACACATAACACTTACCTTGGCCGATTCCAAGAGCCCCATAAACTCCGAGGTATAAATCCCTTTTGCCCGTGTTAATGGTTCCGTTCACATAAAGGGTACTGTCGTCGGCCCAGACACCTAGCCAGAGGTTCGAACCGATACTAAAACCTTGAAATCCTACGTGTAGTAACATCGTACCAACAGTGAAAATAATCCCAACTGCTTTCAAATAATGCTTATACACGTCTCCTTTAACTCGACCGGTCTCCGCCTTTTCTATCTCTATAAGTTTTCCCTTACGGGTCTCATTCTTGGACTCTATCGAACCAGTCCTGTGCCGTAAATTTTTGTTGGTACTGTCGATAGACATCTGGCGTTGGAGGGATCCATTACGGACACGGTCAGAGCCACTTTCAGAATGGGATTCGGAGACCCGCGATCGGTGTCGGCTTAACCGTCTCGTTACTTCCTCGGATATGACTGTACCGACTAACTGATCCGTTATTTCGTCCAAAGCTACAAAAATAATTGAATCAAGTATCTCATGGAACTAAGTACTTAAAAAAAACTAGACGTGATGTGAGCCAATACCACCTAGAACATAAAGCTTCACTGGTGCGTCAAAGTTTAGTCAGTCTTTACTCGTAAATCGCGATTTTAAATAATTTTATGTGGAAATGTTATGTGTGATATATTTATATACATATTTAATATGTTGGAAGTAAAACTACTGAAAATGAGTATAGAAATAGGGGTGCAAAAGGGAAGAGTATTATTATGAAATATAAATAAAAAAATTAGTAACACATTCTACTTTTTTAGTTGCAGGAATTTGAGCAAGATTCGACTCTTAACTCGAACAAATTACATACCAGTTTCAATTTGTTTTCCAAGACCTACAAGAACGAATTTTTTAGATTTTAAAAAACAAAAATAATGACTGATTTGTCTTATAAACCTAGGGACGAACTGTATTATCCAGTTTGTTTTCAAAGCCGCTACAATGAAGTTTATTATAATTTTAAAAACACCCTATACGTAGTTCAAATGTCCCAATGGTTGTGAAGATTAAATCAGTCAGAAAAAAAGTTAACTGGTGGCCAAAGGACAAGAATAAATTTATATTTAAAATGAGCAACACTAAAAATTTTAATTTGGAACTAAATGTTGATTTTTATTTTAATTCGATTACAAAAAAAAACATTAGCTCTCACATTTTTTTAATCCAAATTTTTGGTATCGAAAACATTGTTTCACCTCATCTGGTAAGATATTTTTAAATTAATTTTTTAGAATTTAGTGGAATTTACTCAATATCTTTTACTTTATTGTTTTTAACTCGTAATTTGGGGTATACAAAATTCAAAATTTTATCATTTATTTTTTTGTGACCATTTTAAATTAATTTATAAAATTACTTTACTTTAAAACTTAAGAATGTTACGAACGAATGAAACTTACCATCGTCAGTATCCACATCTTCCGTGATATGTTGCAATAGAAACTCGGCAAAAGCACCTTTCTTGTTCAACAACTCTTGATAGGTGCCACTCTCTGACACCTCGCCATCTTTTATCACGATTATGGAATCAGTTTGCGGCAAATATGTGATGCCGTGAGTTACCAGTACTTTCGTTTTGTGGTGCAACAGTCCCTTAGGTCCTATAACTTTATCGAATATGTGTTTACCGACGTGACTGTCCACCGCACTCAAAGGATCATCCAAAAAGTAGACATCGGCATCAGCGTAGACGGCTCTGGCCAAACTAATTCTCTGCTTTTGCCCGCCGGACAAATTTATACCCTTCTCGCCTATTTCCGTCTGGTCCCCACCCGGCAGCATTTCAAAATCGGCTTTAAGGGCACAAGCTTCGATAACTTTGTTATACAGATCTTTGTGGAATTCCTTCCCGAATAAAATGTTATCTTTCAATGTGGCGTTTTGAATCCAGGCTTGTTGCGAGACGTACGCGATCGAACCCACCGTGTTCACCCTACCCGACACTTTCTCCATTTCTCCCAAGAAGGCCGATATTAAACTGGATTTTCCAGAACCGACAGTGCCAACGACAGCGGTCAGTGTTTGTTTCTTCAAACGAATATTGATGTTTTTCAAAACAGGATCGTCGCCCCAAGAAAATGTCCCCTTCTCGATAATTAAAGGATCGGCTACAAAAAGGAAAATATTTTTAGTGAAAACGCTATAAATAGGGTAAAGAGCCTTTACCTTCAAACGAATCGTGTGTTACGTTATTTGGGTCCAGTTCTTCTGCATTCATAAACCTATTGATTCTTTTTACCGAGACGTACGTCTAAAAATTAGACGACATTAGAAAGTTGCATGGAAAATATATTATTTCTTATTTTTGTCAAAAGTCCGAATAGCAGTTTACGTTTGTAGCAATCTAGCAAACTATACAGAAACATAAGGAATAATATCATCAGTAACTAATTGGTACTACGGGAAAAGGAAAAATATACCAAAAACAAAAAAAAGTAAAATTTTAAGTTTTTGCAAATTTCATAATTATTTTTCTTTTCCCCGTATCCACCAGCGATAAAGTAAAATTTAAAACCAAACCACCCACGAATATCGAAACAGAGAATGGAGAATTACAAAATTTTTAGTCAGTGACGAATTTCTTATGTTTCTTAGAGTTTTTTTTTTCCTAGAATTACTAGTTTTACTATTGAAACCATGCTGCTAAACACGTATCATTCAAGACTTGACAATATTTAAAAATAGTAAAAAGTTTTTCCCAAGCTGAATAAATTATATTGATGGAGCAGTTTTGAAGAAAAACTTTTTTTTCCATACAAAAATGTCAGCTTACTTGTACTAAGTTCGATATCATCATGGGTAACATGCTCATCGGCATCCTTAAAATATTGAAGAGGGAGATAGATACATAGGCCTTATTCGCATCAAGAACGTTGTTCTCATCCACCAATACGAAGGTAGCAAAGGTGACAAGAGAGACCTAGAACATGCACAAGAGACTTGGCTGCATCTTCTTTAAACAATTTATATAATTACTATTGGGATAACAGTAAACATCACCTCAATACTGAGAAAGCCATGCTTGTATATCATATTTTAAAAAAATGACAAATTGCATTAGATATTTTGAGTAAATCTTTTGAACTGAATCATAAAAACAGAGAAAATGACCTTAACTAATTAATAAATCAAATAATTTTTTATTTAAGTGATCTATGATCAGCCTGATTACTAAAATGGAAAGCTCTCTCTGATTTTAACCTCAAATTGACATGGCTTTGTTTAAAATTAAAAGATTTGTGTTTTGTTTCATTATTAGCTAGAGACAGTTGACTGACGTCATATATTTTGTACCTCTTTTACACACAAAACAATAGAAAATAAAATAATGAAAGTACATATATATTAGATATTTTAAGGACATCTTTTTTAAAAAGCATATAAAAAATGGGAACTGACCCTTTTCTAACTGACAAACATGAAGAACTTTCTATTTAAATGATCCACCATTTTCAGGTTACTTGAGAAATAGAAAGCTCTCACTGGTTTTAACCTCAAATTGACATAAATTTCATTAAAACTAAAAGGTTTGCATTTTGTCACCTTTAAGCTAGAGAAAGTTTGTACGTCTTTTTCCACACAAAATGGTAAAAAATATAGAAGTGACGAATTTAATATATTTCTTATTTAACTTTTTAAAACTACATTTTTACTTAAAAAGCAATAGAAGAAGGAAAAAAGAACATTTTTTTGCTGGCTGTAATGTAATAAAGTTCAATGAAAATAAATACGAATATAAAAAAAGTTTTAAACTTACCAAAAATGGAGCACACGCCCAAATAAACGAAGTACCAGCGTGTAAGTAAGCCGACGATTTCAAAACCTTTATCTCCTTGTTTCGTATCTTCAACACCTGATTTTCAAAACTGGGCTCCCACGCGTACAACTTCAGAACCTTAATTCCATTCAAAATCTCGTTCATCAATTTCACACGTTCATCCTTATTCTTCATCTGCTTAACCTGCAAGGTCTTAATTTTATTTGCAATGAATCCGTTCACGGGAATCAGAATTATCATAACAGCTAACCCGGCAAGCACTGACGGGCCCAACTCATTCCACAAGAAATACAGAGACAAGATAATTTGGACTGGCGCTGACCATAACAGGTTTAGAAAGGCGGTCAGCTCAATAAATCTCTGTGCATCCACGGCCATCAAGTTAACGATTTCTCCTAACGTAGTTTCTTTGCGGGCGCTGTTGGATATTTTCAATGATTTCCTATAAATTGTGGATATTAAAGCTGTTCGAATCCTCAATCCGACTATGAACATTCTATTGAAGTACTGCGCCATTAGCAAAGTTTGTACCGTCGCAGCTATAAAAAGCATTGCGCTGAAAAAATAACCCCTCCACTCGTATTGTCCCTCTCTTACATACGTAATAATATACCTAAAAGAAAATTCGATGTAATTAAAAGCAAACGGACCTAACAAATTCTTACCCTAAAATTTGGGGACTCGCAAAAGTCAAAACGTCCTGTACTAGTTTCAATATTGACCCGAATACGAACATGGGCCAGAAAGACTTCAGTAAAGCTGGTAAAACGGATGCCTCTTTTTTCTTCTTGCTGTTGACAAAAGCTACGCTGTCAATATCGGATTTAAATTGCGCATTTTGAGTGGCGTAGTAACTGAAAAGGAATATTTTGTTTTTTTACTTTATCATTAAATTTAAAGCAGTGAAGCATGAGACAGTTGTACAACGTAACAAAGAGGGAGTTAAAAAAGTTGCTTCTAGGAAAAATCTAGGAATACTTTTTGAAAAAACAACTTCTTTAAACAATACTAATAACAATTGTGAAGCTTTAAAAACATTGAAAAATGGAAAAAAATGGATGGATAAATGGTGTATATTTAATCATTTCTAGGCTACCATAAAAAATTTTTTATCACACAAATAAATTCCAAATAAAAGTTACAAAAAATATAGTGTTAGAAATTTAACTGCTGTAACTGTAATAGGTGACAGTATACATCGTACATATTCCAAATTCAACCATTTTTGAGAAAAAAAATTATCAAAACCAAGTTGTCTTATAAAAGTTTAGTTAATTCAGAAACCTTGACATAACTCCGTGCACGGAATAAAGAAAGTTCGACACAATATGACAACAGAGCAACGGAATGACAGTGATACGCTGCTAGCAGAACAATCAGTTGGTGTTTGACAATTTGACATTCATGCCTGTTGCTGGTGACGTTAGATTTTTCGAAATTATTCCCTTGTTTTTTATAGTATTTACCATATATCTCAATGTCTTCTCGATACTGGTATTCTATTCAAAAATAAAACTTCAAAACTATTAACTGTCTTAAAATTGTTTTAATTTATTAATAATTTTTCCTTTAATTGATTATTATTTTTGGATCTTTCCTCATTCACTATGAAAAATTCACAAAAAAATGTCACAGACACTAACCTTCTACTTTTTTCCAACACCTTCAGCCAGTTCTTCTCAAATAACGGTACGACTTCCTTGGCCGTATCTTCGGGGTTCATGTCCCACAAATCCGTCGTTTCCAAAGGTTTCCGAAAGCCGGTCCAAGCCAGAGAATCGAACCAAGAGAACAATAGGCGTGACAAGAAACTGACATTTTCTTCTGGGCAAGGTCTCTAAATCGTAAAGGAAGATTAGTCCCTCTTGAAATAAATCGATAACGAAAATTTACCTCAGTTTTAGGATATACCGATTCTCTAGGCGGTTTGTCTGCAAAGCAGTTGAGTAGAAACATCAACAAAACCAGCGGGTAGTAAATCATGTAAGTGACATAAAAATTATTGGATTCCGGTGGAATTTCGCCCCTCTGGGCGCTCCTAATCTCAGATCGAAACTGAACAGCGCCGCATATCGCCAACAAAAGCCAGAACAGAAATAACACTCCTGAAGAAGGTAGGCCATGTTTCTTGTTGTATACAATCAGAAGCGCAGAAAGAGCCTAAAAGTAAATCTATTTTGTGAAGCCAATATCTATTTATACATTGTCATTATTCATAACATTTTTAAGTTTCATAAAATTAAAATTGTCAGATAGTTTATAGATATTTTAAGATTGCTGAATGTACGCTCTTTAAGGGATAATTGGAAATTTACAGTTTTTCAGCTTCAATAATTTAATACACTTAAAAATGAATTTTAGACTGAAATATGTTCATCCATATTTTTAAATCTATGCAATATATGTGAATTTATTATATTTTACAATATTAGAAGAAATTAAATTTATATATTTTTTCAAGTGCCATGAAAATTAATGAAATAAAAAAGAATAATACTTATACACAAACAACATTAATAAAATAGTTTTCATTTCACTAAATTTGCCATTTCAAAGATAAAAAAATCGATTTTTTTGTCAGAGCATCTGAAATTTCCCCAGATTTCACGAGTTTTCCTATTTCCTTAGTGGATTTGCAGATTTGCTTAGAACTGAAAAATTTCCCGAGAGTTAGCAACCTAGCCAAGTCTTGCTAGTATTTTTCATGCACACTTCGCCAACTGGCCATTAAAAAGTCACCCAACAATATGTCCAAAATACAAATTTTCTTTTCTATTAAAACAAGCATTTTCGGATATCTTTTTTTCTACTTATATAATGTGTTTGGAATTACGCTCAAGGTGTTTTATTGTCAGACTATCAATTTTTTTTTTAAATTTGTTCCAGATTATTTAAAAATAAGTAACTTAAGAATGGTTTATTTTCCAAATAAAATGGGAAAGGCCTTTTTTTAGAATACAATTAGGAATCAAATGTACTAATCGCATTTCCAAAATATTTAGAAATATCAACATTTCCTATGACTTATTTAAGTAAATAGATAATCACGCAATGTAATATATAAATTGAAGTCTCAGTGTTTTACTTAATTTGAAACGAAAAAAGTGTAAATAATTATAAGCAGAATTAAAGTACCTACCTACATCTATAATATTTAGACACTTATTTTTTTATATATCTTGTTTTTAATTATACAATCTCTATAATTTAAAAAAATGACAACTTCATATCAATTAAAAAGGAATGTGATCTCAAGAGTTCCATTAATAATATTGTTTTTACTCTTTACAGTATGACCCATTTCAAATGGAAATATTCTTGTAGAAAAGGTGTTTATGACAAATTATTTGTTTGTTTTTTTTTTATTGAAAATATTAAAAATTCTGTTACATCACATAACATTTTAATTTATTTTCAGTGGTCTAAACCTACTTTTTTATTTTTTTGTTGATGTCAAATTTGATAAAAAAGTTTTTATCAAATTTGACAACAAAGCTAGAATAATAAAACGTTGGCTTTGATAACCAAAATAAATTCAAATGTTAGGTATATGATGTAATAGAATTTTTTACATTCTATATTTCGAAAAAGACCCTAATTAAATCGGCCACTTTCCATTTGATATGGGTCACACTGTATAAAGATTGCGAAAAATTTGTACAATTTCGAACAAATCAAAATATATCAATAGTAGGTATTTAATTATCCTTATCTGAAATATCATGTTTTTACACTATTTTCTTATTTTAAGCAGATTATGTGTTATAGAATCTCTTCAGGGAAATATGCAAGGCTAACATAATTTTGATAAATTCTAATCATGTACTGCAAAAATGGTGTTGATTATTTTAATGCCAGTGTTATAAAATAATTAACCATGAAACAATTATTAGGTACTCTTCAATAATTAAGTGTAAATATGTCTATCTGTGTAAATTAAAAGTAAAAAAACTTTTAACATTTCTAGGTAATAAGTACTTTTTTCATTTTGTAGGTAACAAGACTGATTAAATCATTCAAAAAATGTATTCCAAAGATCTGAATCCAAAATTATGTTAACTATTACTTACAATCTACAAATTAATTTTCATTTATAATCACAAATTATTTAATTAATTAAAAAATCATATATGCTACATTATTGCCTTCACATCCCTAAAAATGACCAAAAAAATATTTTCTTTACTATTTTCAAGGACTACATACTTGAGCTGAATATATAGGTATTTGTTAATTTTATTAAAACAACTATGAACTCGACAGTAACTTAAAAATAGGTAACTAGTTTAATAATACCTAATTATTTTACTCAACACTATTATTGTTAATCATAATTTCAGAATAAAAGTTAATGATCCCAGAGGTAAAATGAACAGATTTTAAAACAGTTTGCATCAAATATTAAGGAAATATTGCAATGAATAACAAAAGTATGACAAGTTTATCTTATTTAAGTGACTTGGCATTCTTAGTAAGTATACCTACATACATATTTGTAATATTCTAAACAAAAATTCCATTTAAGTAGTTCAGAAGTTCACCTCAAATATGTGCAATATTTGAGAGTTTCTGAATCATAATATTACCGTAATATTACAATATTATTATTATCATTAAACAAAGCAAACATTAAATAATATGTAGAAAATGTTTTTAATTTCATAGAGATATGTAGGTACTTATATACAGGGTGTTGCAAATTACTAGGTCAAGCACTTAACCACATATTCTTTGGATTAAAATAATGAGACTTTTCTTATGCCACTTTTCATTAAATAATTTTTATTGATAATTCCGTTGATGGTAGAGATATTTATTTGAAATTTAGCACATATTTTGATCTTAAGTCGGCACACTTTTTGTGTAAATTTGGTTTAAAATATCAAAACGTGAACAGAGAGGGGGGGTTGCAGTACCCCTATTTTTTTTTAAGCGCTTTGTTTTCTCTGTTTTAAAATATTTATTAAATGGGGATTAACTTAAATAATGATTTAAAAAACTTAATATTATCACACTATATAATAAATAAGCAATACTTACAAATGTGAACAGCTTAATAAGTGGTGAATATATATCCACACTGTAAACATTATCACTATTAGTTGATTGAAAGGCATTCACTAAATCCGATAAACATAAGATGGAAAGAATTCCCGTAACTACAAGTTTCGATATATTTAACCAGTTCCATGGTATGTCTCGTTTTTTACTTTTAATTAAATAGTACACTTCGAAACTAGAAAACGCCCACAAAAAGAAACAAGGAATCCACACTAGCACAGTTTTCTGAAAACATTTGGTGAAATCTGGATCATCAGTATTCCATGTTAAATTAATATTCTGCAAAATAAAAGAATCCACAAATAAGTACAGTACAGTCACAAAAAGGCAGAATGAAAGTTAAATTATTTAAAATATTTAAATATTGTATTAATAAAAAGAGTACTCACCCAAAATTCACTGCCACAGAAATTATCTAATGTAGAATTCGACATTTTGCGTTTCAAAAACAGCTTAATTCTTTGCTAAAAAATGAGAATATATCTTTAATCAAGACTAGACATTGTTTTAAAAAATTTTAAATAAAAACTTGTTTTTTCATAGGTTATATACTTTTCTCATTTATATAGCACATAAACCGATAATTTTTTTCATTTTATTCATTTAATTTTATCTTAATACTAGGTACCGAAAATTAATTATTATGAATTAACACCGACCGATGAGTGCACCTTGGGAAGGTATCTTTCTAACCATAACCAAGGGCTATTGACAACTGACGGATAAACAGATGGAAGCGGGTTAATTAAGAATGAGCGCTGGCATACGTTATCGTACTCCTTTCCTTATCTGGTGACGCAAATATGTTCGCCACTTAAATATAAGTCAATAAGTGAACTCTGTGGAATAAGTATTAGCATAATTTTAAAATGAAACTTGTATCTAACTAATGAAACTTTGACATATCTTATTTTACAATGAAATCGCGATCCAAAATGTCTTGTCATGTTTACTATAGGGGTTTTCGGAACGGAAACTGTGATCGTATTATTGTATCTGTGATCTTGTCGTTCGGAAAGCAAACCGGTTAAAATCAAATTTGTTTAGGAATTTTAATCATACGTTCTGATCCTTTCTACCCGACACAATAGTGGAATAAATGGATCAGCTGTTTTATCCCTTTATCTAACCTTAAAATTTAAACAATTCATTGGTTCGTTCAGTGTTTAGTGCATGATCAACATGGTAAACAACAATAAATTTGCCCATTTTAATATATTATAGCTGTAAAAATCCATGTTTTGTTTCGTGTTAGATCGTAAATTAACTCAATAAAAATGAGTGATTTTGATATTAGCGTAATTAGATATTTCCTTAGAATTGGAAACAGCTGTTAGTAATTCATCTGATCACAGTTCATAGTTTCCGAAAATCCCTCGTAAGTTCGTTGCATGATGGCATGATTTAAAAAAACTCGAGGACCTATTGGCTCCTCTGTCAAAAATGAGTGCTTACTTTTGAATCGGCGAATAAACACCGGTTTTTAAACCTTTCCTAGTTTTGTGCAATGAAGAAAACTCGTGAACTATCTATCTGTCTCTGTCCGTTCTTTTCATAATTGTGTTGTGTTTTGAGATTTGTTATTTGTTGACAGTGTTGACACTGTTGACAGTTTATTGTGTTGCTAAGCTAATCATATTATGTTTATACATTTATTTTATTTGATTTGCAGTTAGAAGTGGAAAATGGTTACCAAAAATTCAAATTCTATTTTTCTAGATGTCGATTCTAGCATTGTGGAAAATAATCTTCGTATAGCCGTAAGCGCTAATAAAGATTAGGTTGTTAATTAATTTAGTAAGGTTAAGTATTTGTTTTAGAGTGATTCCAATGAAGATGAATTAAGTCAATTAATTGGAAATGCAACTCCTAACTATCCTTCTAAGGTGGTGAAGCCCTTTCCAGGTAAGCAAATTATTTATTATTATTACTTACATACACTGAAGTCTGCATCAGCATATATATTTTGTTTGTGGTTTAGTACTGATGCTTAGTACTGTCTTGTTTTATAGTATACAGTATACCTTTGCCGTAGTTTATAGATTTATGTGTTTAAATGTTTATAACAAGATTAATAATCGTTTCCTGAGAAAATATTTCGTAATATTTATATAGTATCATTATGAATAATATTAGGAAAAAATTTTTTATCGTACAAAAGGCGTTGAAAATATGAAATATTTATTTTGACATGAAAGGGGAAGATATAACTAGATTTTTCTGTTTCTGTGAAATATTTATTTTATAACTCATATGCCGGAAGATCAATAAATGTAAGTAAGATATTTTATTTACGAAACTGTAACACATTATTTTCTATATTGCTTCCCATATTTCTGCAGATCACTTTCCTTGATTAGGTATGTTTAACTACAGAAGTAAATTTATAATGATAAGATATGATCCTCATGAATTTTATGAAATTTGTTTCTCATACCACAGGTTGTTGAAGGAAAGATTTTCACTGAGTGAAAATTGAGCATTTGGACATTGCAAGTTGTGCAACATTTTATTATTAAACATTTCATTTGTTGATTTTGCTGTATAACGTAGTATTAAATTTTTTTGATATAGTCATAGTACCATGTAACCTTGCCCGTATAATTATTCTTTCAAAACAAATTACTCCACTTTCCAGTGAACGAGATAATAAACGTTACGAATCAAATTATAAGCTGGTTAATAAACATATGCTTCATTATAATGCATTGGTATGTATATAATTTTTGATAAGATATACACGTGAACTAGCTACTAAAAATTATATAATTTAATGAACATATTACTATAAAGATGCCATTAGGAAGATTAAATTTTTTTCTATTTTGTTTACTTATCATTCATTGCATATCAGATGTACTTGTTACAAAAATTAGTACGTTTCTTATCACACAGACACTACAGTGGGTAGAAAATAGGTTAAATAGAAGAAGGTGTCTCATAATAATATTTGTTTGTCAAGAATATAAGAATAGCATGGAAAAAATTTGATCTATATTCATCGCCATAATTCATTATTGCATTAAACCATGTTCTCGAGTTTAAACATTCTTGCGTGGATAAAATGCTACTCAAAACACTTATACAATAAATAACTATTAATTGTCTACATATGAAAAATGCAAAATATTTAATTAGAAGTACCTACTTAAGGAACCAATATGTCAATCATATCAGTATGTTACCGAGTACTTAATCAAACATAAAGTCACTTTTAGCATGTTTCGAATAAACTGTAACTCCACTTGATACAGGAATTGTTGGATTTATAAATAAATTTCATTGATGTGACAAATACAATAGGCAAGTAATAATTTTATTATTATAACCATATTAACAACAATACACATAATTTGAAGATCACTGTCAACGTGTAAAAATCATCTTTGTCCTTGTTGAGAATAAAAATAAATAAGTGGTTATTATATTATATTATCGTATTATAATAATGTTGTGACGTAACTAAAACACTTACCTTAATTCCACTTACAATAAGTAGCAGTAGGTGTTCGAGTTAAATTCGGATTTACTTATTATTAAAAGTCTGTCAAACACCAAAACTTTTTTCGTCTAGCATTATGTGAAAATGAATCGTATTGACCCTAAAAGTATGACCGAAAGCAAGAAAAATACTAATTTTGATAATTTTCGGACAGTTTGAGCATTTTTGAAACAAAATTATCTAAAGTACATGCTTCGGTATATCTTATGATCAAGATAATCTAAGTTGAATTAATTGTTTTTTTTTTATTGCACTATTCTCTTATTATAAGACTATACCGAGCTTGTGGTCGACATTTGTTGTTGAATATGTAACTTAACCATATAGGTAATAGATGATACATGTTGCTTGTTAAAGTTCCACAAACAAAAAATAATAGTACAAGGGCATTTACAGTCACAAACAAAACAGTTACTTACAATGTACAACAAACATGTTTCCCTTAGACCCACCCACACTCCTCATAATCGCCTGTTCATTTATTACAGGAATAATAAATGCACGGTGAAACCGATCGAAAAAATTGTATTTTGCAAAATTCCAAGCAAAATAGTCACTTTTTTTAAACTGTCTGAACCTAATACATACATCATACATAGGACATTGCTTCTGCCATAGTTCCGCAACGCTACTAGCTAACCCTGGGAGTGATCTAGCTAACACTGAAAAAACAGGGAGGTTGGCATTCTTCTGCAGTTGCGGAAGGATATATCGTTGACTGCTTATCAAATAAGATTCACATTTCCCAAAAAATCCTGACAAACCCAAAGCAACAGTTTAGTGCTAGAGAAAATACAACTAAAGTATTAAATATTTCCGACCAAATAAATGAAGTACCAGTTAATTTGCACAATTCCAATGAACCAAATGAATATTTTTTTATATTTTTACTTTTTTTTTTTGGTTTTGTCTAATGTTAGACGAACAGCAGTTGTGCTCATTTTCTGCCCTTGTGACACAATGTACTATAATAAATCTACGGATTCCTTCAATAATCCATAGAGCAATATTTGTTGTTTTCTTTAGAATAATTACATGGCATGTGGCATAGATAACTTGATTATTTGATGTTACAAACTTCAAGTATTTTTATCTCCAGTGAATATTTCTACTTACTAGATAATTTTACCAAGAATTGTTTTTTAAAATAAATGCTCCACATGTGATAACAGTTTTACAAGGATGAATTTCACTAATATCAAAAAATGATTCATAAATCAATATACATACTTATTTTTATTGGTTTTATTTAATTTATTTTACTTAAATTTGCCGTTTAGTTATTTGATTAGGACAAAACGAAGATATAGGTAAAAAGTAAATAAAGATCAGAGTACCTATTCTTTGCATAAAATGATGTAGGTTGAAACATGTTTCGGTAGTTGCTGGTGCGTATGACTTGACTGGCTGACATGGTTTGACCAGAAATTAATTTTACTGGTTGTAATTTTTCACTTGTGTTGATTGACTTAAAGATTAAATTTTTAATTACTATTGAATAGCGATAAAAAAATTTCAAAGAAAATATTACATTCGATATTAAATAAGGGGCTGCTGCCCGGTGATGAACTATTTTATTACCAATGATATCGAGGAAAAGGTGCGAAAAAGCATACGAATTTTTCGATGAACGGTACGAAAAGAAAAAAGTAGTGGTAGTAATTAAAAATGGTCTGTTAGCTTAATCAGCTGAAAAAGTATGTTTTAAATTTTCAAAACAAGAAATACATTGATAGCAATTTTCGAAATTAATTTAATTATTAAGGAAAAAATCAAGGGAATATAAAGACGGTATTTTCTATAATTTCTAGTCGTTGCATTAAAAATTTGAATGAGAAACGTTCCTTGCAAATTATTATTATTATTATTATTATTATTATTATTATTATTATTATTATTATTATTATTATTATTATTATTATTATTATTATTATAAGGTTATATAAAAAATTCTATTCAGAATAAAATAAACACACAGCAAATAAAATTCAATTTTAATGTACAAAATAATCAAAACCAACCTGAACTTCCAGAAACGAAACCAATATTATTGAGAGCACATAGTATAATTTCTAAATTGATCAGACTTATAATAATTGTCCTTTGCACTTTCCACATAATGTTAATAACAAAAAATTTATATTTCCGATATAAACTTATGACCAATAAATATTCTGTTTTGTCCTTGAAACTTGATGCTCGCCCTGTAAAGCCTATTTTTTGTAATAAGGACAATTTGTTGAGATTAGTAACCCTGCTTTGTTGTGTTACAAACTACAAGTATATAACAAAAGTTAGCAATTTGTCCATCGGCGGCTGGTTTGTGATTACAATAAAGGATGTAAATAAATTGGTAACATTCCATTCGACACTTATCTTTTAATAATGTGACGCATTGTTATATCATCGATGACTTTGGTTATTATTATCAGGCAGATAGTGTGAAGTGAGCTTTTCAAACGCCTGTTAAAAGTTAAATATTAAATTATAAAATTGAGAAATAATGCGTTTACCGAGTAATAATAAAAGATAAGATAAATATCTTCAGTATTCAGCCTTTTGTACTCGAGGGCTCACAAATTTTTTGCTTCGGTTTTTTAATGTTTTAAAAATATTTCTTCACAGTTCTTAAATTAAAACTATATGCAACCATTAGTTTTTTTAAATGCTAATGATATAATGATGTTGGAAGATATCTCATCCTATTAATTTTAAGAAAATGTGTTAGTGATATTTTGATATTTTATTGCCTACTACAGTAGTCAAAAAAGTAATTGATATTAAAAATATTCCAAATTTTTGGGTGATTTTCAAAGAGCTGTAACTGAAGTTTCTAGTTTTTGTATTTGGAGTTTAAAGTTTTTTAGTGTCAGCAGTTTTTGAGTACCTAATCACAAGAAAATCAATGAAAAATTTTTTTTACAATAAGTAACGTTTTAATGACGTTTAAATATAGATTATTGCTAAAAAAACATCTTCAACTTAAAAAAATGAATAAAAAGTGAAAAATTACTTTCTACATTGAATTTTAGCAAAAACGACAAATTTAAACATTCCGGGCAATAGGAAAAAAAATTACAGCGCTTTGAAACTATTAGGGTTTCTTTAGGACATTTTGAGGTTGAAAAGTCATAATCAATGTTCTTAGTTTATCCAGCAAAGTTATGTCAAGTTATTCAAATATCCCTAATTATGCAATTTTTTAACTTTTTTCCACCCAACTCCGAAAATATTTTTTTTTATCAAAAACCTATAATTTCCACTTGTAGAGAATATTTTGCAATTTTGAAAACCCTCCTTGGATTTTCTGTACGATCATTATTTCCCGAGTAATTGATTGTCGAAATCAAAAATCACTTTTTCGCTTTGATCGACGATAACTCATCGTACAGGGCTCCGGAAC